CTAGTTCTTTCGACTGAATGGAAAGATAATAAATATGCAAAGGAAGCTGCGGGGAAAGAAACTGCCAAAGTTCTTATTGCTCTATCATTCTTGAATGATGTCGTTCGTGCTCTTAAAGTTGGTGGTCCTTTGATTAGGGTGCTTCGTATGGTGGATGGGGAGAAAAAACCACCAATGGGCTATCTTTATGAAGCTATGGATAGAGCCAAAGAGAGTATTGCAGCGTCATTTGATGGAAATGTTAGGAAATATGAGAAAGTTTTTGAGATAATTGATACCAGGTGGAACAATCAACTCCATCGACCTTTGCATGCAGCAGGCCATCTTCTGAACCCGGGATTATTTTACAACACTAGAGATGAAACTTTGGATTAAGAGGTGTGGATTAGATACCATGCATGTTTTGAGAAGTTGATCCCTAATTCAGCGACGATAGATCTAATAGGGGAGGAGTTTGGTAAGTACTCACAAGCAGAGGACCTATTTGGTTTACCGACTGCCATTAGAGCTAGAGACAAAAGGTGTAACTAACTTTAATATAGATATCCTTATAACTTTAATTTAATTTATGTGATTTATACTTATTATCTTTTAAAATATTTTTCTATAGTTGAATGGTGGAAGCAATTTGGACATCAAACTCCAAACTTGCAAAAGTTTGCCATCAAAATATTAAGCCTAACTTGTAGTGCATCTAGATGCGAGAGAAATTGGTGTGTATTTGAGCATGTAAGAAGTAGATTTATTATATTAATATATTCTATATTGTATTATTATTAGTATTTATTAATTAATTTAAATAACTTATGCGCAGATTCACTCCAAGAAAAGGAATAGGCTTGAGCTATCGCGTCTCCATGATCTAGTGTATATTAAATACAATAGAACATTGAGGCGACGTTACGAAGCTCGCGATACCGTTGATCCAATTATGTTGGACAACATTGACGAGGCAAATGAATGGTTAACTAGAGCCCCCCAAAATCGTGAAGATGAACTAGTGTATGAAGGAGATGATCTTGATTGGGGTACTGTTTCTATGGCCGTTGGAGTTGAGGAGAATATCTATGGACTTAGAGCGAGTTCTTCAAGTTATAAGGCAAAGGGCGTAGCAAGTTCAAGCCGGTCCCTAATTGATGAAGAGTCCGAGGATGAAGAAGATGATAGCCAATATAATGTTAACATTCATGAAGTTGTAGAATTTGAAAATCTTGAAGAAGAATAGATGTTGCTTGTTTTAGAGTTTAGACTATTAGTCTTTAATTTATGAATTTACTATGAGTTTATGACTATCTATTGAGTCTTTAATTGTTGAATGATATATTTATTAATATATTATTGTCATTGAGTTTTTAGTTATATGTATATAATATTTTATGTTTTTGTATAAATTGTCGCTTTACATCAAAAAGGTGAGCGCTTCGCTTTGTGCCTCTCGCCTTAGTGAAGCGGGCCTCGTCGCTATTTGTCGCCGCACGCTATCCAAAACATTGGCTGGAGCCTCTTCATCAAACTCTACCTGAGGCTCTGCCGCTGGTGCTGCTCAAGCTCAGGGCCCCGGCCTCTGGCACGTCCTCGTCCTCTGCCCCTCGTAGGAGCTGCTGCTGGGGCTTGGGCTGCTGGTCAGCCGATAAAGCGGTACGTGTTCTCGCCATCTGCGAAAGAACAAGAGTAGAAAGTCCAATTAGCATTGAGAAATCAAATCGCACGAAAGAGAAGAATGGAAGTGAAGTTATTCCTAAACTCTGTAGCCTCTGGGAGATAAGCACATACGTCTCTGTACTGATCCCTCAGATTCTATCTAACTTGTTCGTGAATTGTGAGACCTAGGCAACCTAGTGCTCTGATACCAACTTGTCACGACTCGGATTTCCCAGCATCGGCATCGTGATGACGTGTAACTCTTAGAATGCTAGGCAAACCAACAGATAAAGATCTAACATGCTAATCACTATTCAAAACAGTAAATAACTATAATCTAAACCAAAACAAAATAAGAAGTGCGGAAATTTATAATAGACCAAACACTATTACACGACTACCCAAAATCTGGTATCACAATCCATGAACTTCTAAGAGATACTACAAATATTGGTAAAGAAAATGCATCTGTTCTCGAATTAAAAGAAAACAGGAAAGCTAAGGTAAATGGAAGGGGACTCCAGGGTCTGCGAACGCCGACAATTCTACCTTGGTCTCCTGATGGACTGAAGGCAGCAACCCAACTCTGATCAACGAGGTCCGGTACCGAAATCTGCACAGAAAGTGCAGAGTGCAGTATCAGTACAACCGATCCCATGTACTGGTAAGTGCCGAGCCTAACATCGGCGAAGTAGTGACGAGGCTAAGACACGACAATAACATGAACCTGTGCAGTTAAATCATATACGAGAAAATAACAACAAACGGAAATTTAACAGATAATAATGGGAAGGGGGAAAACATGCTGAGGGGAAATATCAAGTCCTGAAAATAGTACAGTAAAGAAACGCAGTGAATATCATGCTTTGCACCAATGGAAGTAATAACATGGCAAACATGTGCACGACATCACCCTTCGTGCTTTTACTCTCGTCCTTACCATAAGAAACAANATAGAAACGGCACGACATCACCCTTCGTGCTTTTACTCTCGTCCTTACCATAAGAAACAATAGAAACGGCACGACATCACCCTCGTGCATTAACTCTCTCATAACATGGCACAACATCACCCTTCGTGCATTAACACTCTCAGAATATGGCACACATCACCCTTCGTACATTAACACTCACAGAATATGGCACGACATCACCCTTCATGCATTATCACTCACTTACAAAACATTGCACGACATCACCCTTCGTGCCTTACACTCTTCCTCTCCTAAAAAACAGAACAATAACAACCCGGCAAGGGAATTATCAATAACCAACCTCGTTTCAATATTTAACTTCACAATATGAATCTCAACTTGAGTCAATACTCAACCTATATCAAATTCCAGGAAAACATGATAAGATTTGTTTAACATGAAGAATAACCAGTTTAAGCATGAACAATACGAATAAAGAATACAACAGTCACAAAGATAAGACTCACTCGCATACTATGACCTGACAACAACGTATAGGTACTCGTTACCTCACCTATACGTCGTACTCAACAACCAAACACATAGCAAATAAGGCGACAATACCTAATCCCTCAAGCTAAGGTTAGCCACAATACATACCTCGATTCCACGGCCGAACTCAAGCCTCAAACATAGCTTTTTTCTTAGTTTTCACCTCCGAACCATCCGTATCTAGTCATAATTAACTTAATAATATCAATTATCGCTAAAGAAATCAATTCCAATGCACCATTACAAGTTTCCCAATATTTTTCCCAAAAAGTAAAAAATCGACCTCGAGCCCGCTTGGTGAAAACTCGAGGTTCCGACTAAAATCCATTCACCCATTGATCTACGAGCCCAAATATGTAATTAGTTTCAGAATCCGACCCCAAATCGAGGTCTAAATTCCAATTATGCAAAAATTCGTAATTCTACCCAAACCCCCAATTTCCATCATGAAAACCCTAGATTTTTAGTTGAAAATTGATGAAATGCACTGGATAATTGAAAGAAAGTAGTTTAGAATCATTTACCAACACTTTGGGGAAGAACTTGTCTTTTGAAAATCGCCTCTATGCCTTCTAGTTTTTTGAAAAAATATGAAATAATGGCCCATTCCCGTTTCTCCTTTTGTTTTAAGTGTTGGGCGACAGTGCTCATCGCGATTGCGTGAGCACTATCGCGTTCACGAAGAGCAGCCTCCTAAGGACTTACGTGATCGCGGGAAAGGCTACGCATTCGCGAAGGTTTAGCCCGCCCTACCTTCGCGTTCGCGATACGGGGCTCGCGTTCGCATAGGATTTCCCCAGGTCCCCTGACCAACCCTCCTAAAGCTACGCGTTCGCGGTCGACCGGTCGCGTTAGCGGAGAGCAATTCCCCCCAATGCTCCGCGTTCGCGGCCCGGTTCTCGCTTTCGCATAGAATGAAGTCCTCCCCCAGCCCAGTTTCCCCTTCGCGATCGCGAGAGTGACTACGCGATTGTGAAGCACAATGCAACAGACACTAAATACAACACTCTCACACCAGATTTTCTAAGTCCAAAACATCCCACAGCCTACCCCAAACTCACCCGAGCCCTCAGGGCTCCAAACCAAACATGCACACAAGTCTTAAAACATCATACGTTGCTCGCTCAGTCAAATCGCTAAAATAACGCCTAGAACTACGAATTTAGCATGAAATTGCATGAAATTTTCAAGAAAGTTCAATAGTTCTATTTTCTCGACCAAACGTCCGAATCACGTCAAATCAGTCCCATTTCTCACCAAATTTTACAGATATGACTTAACTACCATATTAAACCTGTACCGGACTCCGTAACCAAAATACGGGCCCGATACCAACAAGATCGACTATTAACCATTTTCACAAAACCATTATAATTTCAGTTTAACAATTTTCATCAAGAATTCATTTCTCGGGCTAGGGACCTCGGAATTGGAATTCGGGCATACGCCCAAGTCCCATATTTTACTACGGACCCTACGGGACCGTCAAAACACGAGTCCGGGTCCGTTCACTCAAAATGTTGACCGAAGTCAACTAAAATCACTTTTAAAGACAAAAATTATTATTTTCTCAAATTTTTCACATAAAGGCTTTCCGGAAATGCGCCCGGACTGCGCACGCAAATCGAGGAGAAGTATGATGAGGGTTTGAAGGCCTCGGAACCCCGAATTGGGTTCTAAACACGAGATGACCTTTTGGGTCATCACAGATTGCTTGCTTTTAATATATAAACTTGCTACGTTTATTCAGTGTGATGAATTCCTTGCAAAGTGGATAGAATACACAAAATTGGTATCTGCTTCAAATACCCTTTAAAACGTTATAACTGGAGTTACTCGGATATAAAGTATCCTCCTATAGAATAGGAACAAAAGAGGATGATAATATGAAATCTCATTATTTTGCAGGTTTGGCAAGAGTTCTGGATTACTGGAGACTGTGATGGACGAGGTGACCCTGTGTCAAACCCAAATGGCCCACTTGACCATGAATTGTTCTTGCTTTGTGCAAGGGATACCATTAAGCTTTTGAGGAACCATCCTAGTCTTGCCTTGTGGGTTGGGGGAAATGAACAAGTTCCACCACCTGACATCAATGCTGCTTTGAAGAATGATCTACAACTCCATCCATATTTTATGAAGTCAAACGACAGTGACACCTCGGCAATTACTCCCGTTTTGAAGGACCCAAGTCAATATCTAGATGGTACTAGAGTTTATATTCAGGGGTCTATGTGGGATGGGTTCGCAGATGGAAAAGGGGACTTCACTGATGGTCCTTATGAAATTCAGAACCCTGAGGACTTCTTCAAGCATGACTACTACAAATATGGCTTTAACCCAGAGGTCGGTAACGTGGGGATGCCAGTAGCAGCTACTATTAGAGCAACTATGCCTCCCGAAGGATGGCAAATTCCTTTGTTCAAAAAATTATCAAATGGCTACATTGAAGAAGTCCCTAATCCCATATGGAATTACCATAAATACATTCCATATTCCAAACCAGGAAAGGTTCATGACCAGATATTATCATACGGGACGCCGAAAGATCTGGATGATTTTTGTCTCAAGGTGAGTGAAATGTTCCACTGATGTGCATATTCGCTCTCATTAATTCTCTTTTATTGTTTCTGCATTTGACGTGTTCTATAAATCTTATCAGGCACAGCTTGTTAACTATGTTCAGTACAGAGCTCTTTTAGAAGGCTGGACTTCCCAAATGTGGAGCAAATATACAGGTGTTTTGATATGGAAAACTCAAAACCCATGGACTGGTCTAAGAGGCCAGTTTTATGATCATCTCCACGACCAAACAGCAGGATTCTACGGTTGCCGCTCTGCGGCAGAACCAATTCATGTTCAGCTTAATCTGGCTAAATATTCTATAGAGGTAATCATTTGCCTAGCACTGTTAGGATAAATCTGATAATTTGGCTTCAAATAGAAGTGGATATACTTGAGCTTTAATAATAAACTTGAATTTTAGTAGGCTAGACCTGAACTTTACCTTAAAAAAAAACAAAAAGAATTCAGAACCTGAACTATGTGGCATTGTTCAGACTTTTTCTTTGGAACTATTCCTTCTGCTTATTTCTTCAGACGGGGAAAGAAATCTAATAGTTATTATTTCTTCCACATCCATTATGTATTACCAGACTTAAATGTGCAACGTTTGCACCAAAAAATGGAAAATGGAGGAATTTTACTGTTTTCATGATTATTTTTCTAACTGTCTACAGGTTGTGAACACTACGTCAGAGGAACTTTCTAACGTTGCTATAGAAGCCTCAGTTTGGGATTTGGAAGGCGAATGTCCATACTATAAAACCTCTGAAAAACTTACTGTGCCACCCAAAAAAACTCTATCTACGTTTGAGATGAAGTATCCTAAGTCAAAGAATCCAAAGCCAGTTTACTTTCTTCTTCTCAAACTCTATGATGTGTCCGATTATCGCATATACTCTAGGAACTTTTACTGGTTGCACCTTTCCGGTGGTGATTACAAGCTGTTGGAACCATTCAGGGAGAAAAGACCACCCCTCAAGATAACTTCGCTAACCTTTATAAAAGGATCGACCTATGAAATGCACATGCATATCCAGAACACATCAAAGAAGCCAGATTCTAACACTCCACTGTATAGAAATAACTTCATCAGAAGAAATGGTAGCTGTGATGAATCGGATTCATCAGAACCTTTTCACCTTTTGGATGGGGAGAAACATGAAATCAATTTGTACGAGAAGATTAGGAGGAACCTTTCAAGGGAGCACAGCAAGGCGAAGGTTTCTGAAGTTAATGGAACAGAAAAAGGAGTTGCTTTCTTTCTTCATTTCTCTGTTCATGCGTCAAAGAAGGAGCACAAGAAAGGTGAAGACACACGTATCCTTCCTGTTCATTACTCCGACAACTATTTCTCACTGGTACCAGGTGAAGTGATGACAGTAACCATTTCCTTTGAGGTACCTCCCGGTGTCACTCCACGGGTCACACTGCATGGCTGGAACCACCACAGTGGGCATACCATTCCTTAAGCCAATCATCTCGCCACCCAAGTAGGGAAGTTGTAAAATTGTAGTAGTTCATGTCATCTTTAGTGCTAGATGTCACAGTGTTTTCAAGTAGAACGCCCTAAGTCATTTGAAGCAAGACGCAACACTCTTTTGGTGCCTTGTTCAGTTCACCCTTTTAACACTGTAAAACAGGTGGTTCCGAGGATACGAGTCTGGAAATAAGAGCTCTAGTGCTTGTAGAAAACAGTTCTGCTATGTAGTGTAGGAGTTCTGACATTCATGCCATTTTAATCAATAAAATTGTTGTAACTTCCATTTAATGCTACGTGCATGAGCACTCCTCTCCGTGGAACTGCATTTTAAAAAGTTTCATTTGGTTTATGGATGCGATATCATTGGGTTCTATCTAATTAATGTAACAAAGCAGATGTATTCAACAAAGTACTGAGAGAATTTCAAATGCCTAGGTCCGACAAAATCCTTGTGCCAATGGATGTGAAATTTTGTGTATATGCAGGCGAGTCCAATCATTAATTGGAGGTTGGCATATGGAAGCAATGGTGCAATGATGTTTTATTTAGAGTTTAATAGGGAAAAGGAGAAATAGCTGATGATATTTGTCTAATCATTGGTGAGCAGTTACTTGATAAAACTAATGGTAAGAAGAGATAAAATAGTTAAATTAATTCGAACACTACCGTATTAGAAAAAAAAGAAGAAGAAAAAAAGAGAGTTAAGGTTATATTTAAAAGGAATTAATTGATTACAATCTAATGGTTTTTTTTTGAACTTATTTATTTTCGTTTTTTTGGTTAGATTGCTCAGAAGACTTAAAGAAGGCACTTTTCTTGGTTGGACAAATAGGAGGAAACGAGTTTAATTATGGTTTATTGCAAGGTAAATCAATGGAGGAGCTTAGAGTTGTTCAGACCATATTATCAATGGTGTTAAAGTATGTTTTACATTTCCTCTATTTTTAGTATGTGAAACTTACTAAAGATGTTTAAATGCCTTCCACAAATATTCGAGAGGATTAAAATTTACGTGTACTCATCAATATTTGTATTTCATCAATAAATACATAATATACGTATTTTTGGAGTATTAATTACTTCATTATCTCTATCAGATGGTTATTGGTTTTGGGGTTGCTCGAATTGTTACTCCTGGAAATTCCCAATTGGTTGTATGCCAAATTTGGTAACAACCTTTTCGACTAATAATTCAACCGTGTACGATGAGTACCATTACTTGAAATATCTAAATTTGTCCACTTACAATTTTTACTTTCGATAAATTGATTGTTTTTCGACCAATTTTTTTTTCCAGATCAGCGCCGCTCTTGAAGATCAGCTTATTCTATCTAAAAAATAAAACTCGTAAAATGTAATAAACTTTGGAAAAAAAAAATTTAATTAAACTTCCTTCAATACATGTAGCTCTGCCGTGAAAGAATGCCCCATGCAATAAACATATTTTGATTGAAATATGGCCAATTGATGACATGTTACCCCATTTTAAATGCCATGTTTAATTTAGTTTTCTTTTTCTTGGCAAAGTGCATCAATAGAACGTCTATTAGAATAACCTTCTCATTTCTTTCTGTATAGAGCAGTGTGGAGAGAAGCAATTGTCATGAATTAGAATGGGTGGAATCTATCTAGAAGAAAACTAGTTGGTCTTCGGAAAGACAACAGTTAGCCAAATTGAAATACCAAACTTTTTTTTTTTGGTTTAAAGTTCACAAATATATGAGCTGGAATGTTCAAATGGGTAAGATTCTAAATTTATTTATCGGGTTGGCAAATGGTTGCAAATTTGGGAGGTCACTGCCTTTTAAATTTAGTAGTTAAAATGTGAAAGTAATATATTTTTATCTATTCTTTTTTGTTTATTTTGAGAAAATTATGCGGCAATTAAATAAATTAAAGAAAACCCTTTTGCAAGCTTTTTAATTTCCTCTTTTTTTGTCCTTCTGTCTGAATTATATAGTTGTGCTCTTGTTTACTCGTAAAACAGTATAATTAAATTTATTACGTGATTTTGTAGACAAGTGAACTGACTTGATCCCAAAATAATAAAGAAATAAGATTAAAAATAAGAATTAGCAATTGAAATTGAAGAAGATAAACCTGGTTTCGAGCGCAATGTCTCCGAGGACAGGAATGAAAGCAATGTAAAAGAGCAAATAAAGTTGTTTTATTGAGAGCGAAAGTAAAATACCAAGAATTTCCTGTCTTACAATGGCTGTTGAGCCTACTATTTATAGCTATACTTAGGGAAACAAGATCCTAGGATCAAGCCTCATTTAAATGATAATAAAGGGGGTCATTGATGAATATGTAACGGTAGACCATGAATGCAAATATTCTTTGTAACGGTTGCTCATTTAATGTTAGAGAGTATTCTCTCGTTGAATGTTATCCGATGGCAAACACTCGATCTGCTCCCGTTGACTACGCTCCCTTCGGGATTTACCCGATATCGATTGCAGTTGTTGTTCCCGATACTGATTGTTACTTGACTCGCCTTTCACCTATCTTCGATTTCACGTGTCATGCTATCATTCAATCATCTATTATAAACCAAGTTTACCTCATACAGTTCCTTTCTTCAATTTGAAGTTTCTTTCTTTCTTTATTATATTCCTTTTATTAATTTCGGTCTTTCGCATTCTTATCTAAAAAAGAGTAGGAGAGCGGTTCCCTCAATTGTGGCATCGCCTTCATCATCCTTCGGACAGGTTGATGAGTTTTTGGACAATTCGATATGAGCGAATTCCAGAAGTATCGTATTCGTTAGGGGTGTACATAGGCCGGGTTGGTTCGGATTTTACAATTACCAAACCAAACCAATTGTGTCGGGTTATTAAATCTAAAGACCAAACCAAACCAATAAAGCTCGAGTTATTCAATCTCGTTTTTTCGGGTTATTCGGATTTTTTCGGTTTTTTTCCCGGTAAAATCTTCGTAGAACAAAACATATAACGTATGCTCAAAATATTTCTTTAATCCTAATAAGATGCAACTATATAAAGTATTTTCCAAGAAAATAATACAAAATACGAGATGTGTCATGGCATTATCCTAAAATATTCAACAATAAAGACAATAAAATTATGTAATATAAATATTGCTGTAACACTCCTCAAATATATAAAAGTTTCAAGACACGCGAAATATAGAATTTAATTATTTATTTTTTTATAATCTTAAATTCTACTTCTATTACGGACTAAACCCCTTGTGATTAATTTTGAGTTACTTCCCTATTTATAAATAATTGGATGTACAATTAGGGAAATATTAATAATTTTAATGTTATTAATTATTAAAAGTAAGTATAATTAAATGTTAGTTAAGTCAAAAATATAATTACCCTAAAGCCCATAAAAGGGCTGTTGTAAACAAAGGCTTGAAGCCTTATACAGACAAAGAAAAAAAAGAGAATTAAGCAAAAGAGAGTCACGTGACTCAAGCTAAAAGGTTTGAAGGGAACAAAGAAAAGGGCTTATGCCTTAGAGATCAGAAAACAGAGAAACAGGCACACGGTACTACGAGAGGCAGCAGAAATTTCACGAAAAATTATAGGATTCTTCATAAATCACTAAATCTTGAAATCAGGTACATAGAATTTCCTATTCTCAATTATCCTAAAGTAGTAGTAGGTAAGAATAGAATGGTTAATCTTCTTTTTCCTCTATATCAATAATAAGTGAAACTTTAAAATTGATTAATATGCACTGGTTTAGAATCGATTGTTTGACTGGTGTCAATTAGACTGGGGTCTACATATTGGCTCGAGAAGTTTTGAGGTGAGTTGATATAACCCTTTACTAAAGTGGTTTAACTCACAAAAGCACGTACACAAAGTGTTTGATGAATTGCATAAAAGAGTATATACTTAATGGGAGTAGTAAGTACCTATTAGCTTAAAATTATTTTCTAGCTAAAATTTAGATGATTATTTGGATCTATGTGCATAAATTTCAGATTTTTATGTTATTCTTATATGCCATTTTCATGTTGAAAACTCATGAAGGATCAAGAACCTTTATAAATACTTTAGAATGTTTATTTCATTCTTATGTCATGCCTTACATTTAAGGATACCAGTATGAGTATGTATAAAAGATTTAGACTTGAAAAGTCACAAGAAGAAGTTTTAGAAAGAAAATTTTTTTGGGGAGTATCCTTTATTTTGAGAAGGGGTCATCGTCCAGGCCTAGGGTCCTGACCAAGGCGTTGACTTCCTGAAACTACTTGTGCCAAAGTAGGGAGCACACGAGCCGAGGGTCTCGTTGCTGAGAATTTAATTAGCCATGCTAAGGTATGAGACATGGGCGCTGAGAACCATGAAGCGAGTGACACCTCGTGGATTGGGCCTATTCGATCAGGTTGGAATCGAACCCGTGCCGATCACACGGTGACTAAGACAGAATTAAGTCAGGATAGTTGGAACTCCCAAAGTATAAAGTGAAGTATTTTTTTTATGAGTAAGAAAAAGAAAAGAATTTCTTTTAGAATATTCATGAGCTGCTATTATGCAATTATTTTAGAATTATTCTTATAAGCTTTATGTTTTACATGCCTTTAGAACCTTTGCTCATAATGTATATGTTATTAAAGTTTTGCCCCCTGTTGTTGAGACTCACTGAGTACAATGGATGGTATTGACATTCTCTTTTGGGAACCTACGTTGGTCTGCGGTACAACGTAGGAACCGGATTTGCAGGCGAGCAGGCTACGAGTTAGGACTTCCTTCTCTTCCAGTGCTATTGGTGAGCTCCGCTTTTGTTCGTGGAGTATTCCTTAGAGTCATCTTTATTTAGTTATTTCTTTGTTACTTAGAGAACTGGCCAGAAAATCTCATGTCCTGAGCAATGCGTCAGTTTATCGGTAGAGGTTTCATAGACATAGTCGTTGGGTTAAGATTCAGATATTTTTGATAATAACTTAGCAGCATTTTATTGGTTACTACGAATAAAGTTTTGAAATTGGCTTATTTTAGATATTTAAATCATTTAAAAGTATTTGGTTACAGTAGTGCCTTGTGGCATATAAAGTTTGAGATTATAATAGATTTGATAACCAGAGATGGTCTGCTCGGTCATGTTTAGTGATCGAGTGCCGGTCCCGGCTTGTTCAAAAAATGGGTCGTGACAATTGCTAATTAAAAAGCCATAATAAAAATAAATATAATCTAAAGGTACTAAGTCACGTTGAATAAATAGACTAATAAGGGAGTATTAATTACATGAATAAACGCTAAACAAAAATAAAAATAGGTTATGCATTTTTATCTAAATTATTGCAAAACAAAAAA